GCAAATAATTGTTATTTATATGTAAATAATTGATTAAATAAGATAAAATTAATTAATATTTATATTATATTACTTATATTAATTTTTATTAAGTAATAAAGAAAAGGATACAAAGAATCAAAAGTGTATAATTACTAGGACTCCTAATGAGCTAAGTCAAGTCAAGTCGAATAGCTCTCAAGCTTTTTTTTTGTTATTTTTTATATAATAGATTATATTTCAACCAAATTTTAAAATATTATTTATATTATGCAAGTTTATGCAAGGTTATGCAAACCTATAAAAATCAAAAATGGGTTTATTTTTTAGAGCCCTAATAGTCACTTATTAACAAAAAATCCAAAAATATTGCAAAATATTAAAAGAAATTAATTGATATAGTTAAAAAATCAAGAGTTTATTTAGCTAAAGAAAGTGAAACTAATTTAGAAAATAATGATAAGAGAAGAATAAATATATATGACTATAGTTGGCATTCTAATAAAGTATTTTTTAATAAATAATTTTATATTAAATAATTAATTTATTATTAATTAATTTATAGTTGAAAGATTTATTAGAAAATTTAAATGAATATTCAAAATTGATTTAACCATTTCAATTAACTTATAAGTAAAACTATAGTGAATCTTATTGTTACAATATAATTTCACCAGAAAACTTATCAAGTTGGACTTGTAAATTGAAGAATAAAGAGTAAAAAATAAAACAAAGTAAAAGATAAACAATTGACAAAAAATATAAAAGATAAAGGATTTCTGATTATAAAAAATCACTTATGTATTTAGTATTAAACTAAAAAATATATATAAATGAACAAAATTTAAAGGCAATATTAAAGAAGAAAATTAAAAAAAATCATAAGAAACACAAGAAGTACAAGAAGTATAAAAATCACAAAAAAATATTCCAAAGCAAAGAAAATTTGATATTATAAAATTTTTGAGAGTTATAAAAGCCATGATAAAATTAGCAAAAAAAAAATTATTATAAGTAGGAAGATATAAATAAAAAAATAAAAAAGGAATTTAGTAAATAATAAGCAAATAATTAGTGAATAATGAATAAACGATTAGAGAATAATAAATAAACAATTATTGAATAATTAATTAGTAAATAATTAATGAATAATTAGCAAATAATTATTTCAAATTCTATATTTTTTAAATTTATCAAGTATTAATTAAATTTTACCAAATATTATTATAAATACAATTTTTTTATTGAAAATGTACAGTTTGATTTTATTAAAGTATATAATTCTAAATAATTTTGTCAACTTTATAGTTAAATAATAAAACTTTATTCTGAATGCTATAATTTTTATTACAAAATGTTGTAACTTTATTGCCAAATATTTTTTAATTAAAAATATTTTTTTGCCAAATATTTTTTAATTAAAAATATTTTTTTGCCAAATAATTTTATTGGTGTATGATTTTATTGCCAAATGATTTTATTGCTGAATAATTATTTTTGTCAAATGTTATATTTTTTTTGCCAAATTATTGTGTATTTTTAATTGCTGAATGACATAAATTGGACCAAACAACAAAACTTCAATATAAACTTCTATTAATAAATTTGAATTTAATTGGCTGTAATTTGGCAGCCAAATAATCTAATTTGGACTAATGACAATAATGTATAGTTTTTATTTAAAGATTAATATATAGGAGTTATACTTTGCTTATTATTCATGCTTCTAAATTTGATAGTCAAAGTCAATTAAGAACAACAGCAAGGAGCATGAGCAGACTATTTTATTTTTTGTTTCTCAAATTTACACCTTTTGAATTTATAGCTTTCTGACCTTTTTATCACTTTATTCTAGATTTTACAAAAAAAACTTGTGAATTTTACGGCTTTAGAATTCTTTAATCGGTATTAAAAATTTTGTTATTCACCAAATTGGTATATTTCTACACATAGCCGGAACAGCTTTAATTTTTTATAAATCATCAAAATCAATAGTTTGGGATCTTGAAAGTTCTAAGGCCTTTTACCGTTTTTAATTTCGATAACGTGTATTTTATAATTTAGGTCACACTTCGTATATATTATATAGCTATTTGGTCTTTAATTGACCTTTAAACGTAAAAATATATATTGCTTTCTTGCCTAGTTTAAGGCTCCAGGAGCTTGGTTTCGATAGCAACTACTTATGTCGAAGAAATAGTTACTGAAAAATTTTTATTGAAAATAGATATACCTTTTTCCTATGTATTAGTTAATTCATTTTTTATTTTTTTGACGCAATTCTATTTCCTTCTGCAAATTCAATGGTGTATTGAATCATAACCGAATTGCTAGTAAGATCTGTACTATCTCTGAAGTCTTTACTCTTGGTTAGATACTTTACAGGAACGATGGCAGAGAAAACTGATAATAGAGTTTGTGGAACAATTCAGGTAAGTTTTTTCTCTCAAACCGATTTAACAAACCATTTTTTTTTGCGTAGGTCACCGGAAAGAATTGTGATTCCATTCGGACCGAAGGGCAAGATGGTAAGTCCGACTTTTTTCGACAAATATTAATAATAACAGTATGGGACGCAATATACCTTCTTTGGACGTATTATGTCAGTCGACCTTCCAGGAAAGCAACATTACAAGTGCAGAAGAAATATCTTGCAAAGAGTCTGGACGCTTAGCCGAGAAGATAGTAAAGATGGAACCAAATACAATACATCACCCTCGGAAAGTAAATCTCACGTATCACAACGAAAGGGAAAAGTGAAGAGGTTCATGTTCGGTGTGTCGATTCGTTGCGGACCTTCACCACCGTCGGAAACAACACTAAAACACAATGCGGTAGTGGCACCAGCATCAAGAGTGAAAACGATGCTGATATTGCAGAAAGCTTCAAATATTGCCTTGACCAAAAAGCAATCCATTTATTGCAGGCATCCTTTGGGAAACTGTGCCGAATCGGTATCCTGGGAAGCACTACGTGGACAAAGAAAATCCAGACGAAACCGTGCCGTCTTGTACTCGCGCACCCTAAGAGACAAGGAGAACAATTGAAGGTCTCAGATCCATGTCTCAAATGTCAAAACGTATTGAACAAGATGAATCATTTCGCAATAATACACTTATGATAGTTGACACGTTTAAAGATGAATCTAGCCGTCGTCATCTTGCATCTTCTATTGGTTGCGAGCTCCTGTTAATAGTGATGATCCAAAAGAACTTACCTATTATATGACAATTCGGCTTTGATCATATCATTATAATTGGGAAGATTGAAAATGGGATGGTTTTTTTGGATTGCTATGATCGTGTGTTTCAATGGGAGGAAGAATGTCAGATGTTGTGGCCACTCGGAAATTCTTTGGAAGAAGTAATGTCAAATGGCGAGAAAAATCAAGTGCCATGGTATTGGGAGTATGATGGAGCTGTATATGAGTTCAAAGAATTACTTCAACGTATGTGCAAAAAATGTTATTGTAATGTTGCATTAGATGCCGATAACTTTATTTAATATTTTTATATTTATTCTAGAAGAATCTATTGATGCAAAAAAGAAATTAACAAGAAAAAACATTACGAATATATTAAGAATATGGAGGTACATGAAAAAACGCGCCCTTGTATAATATACGCAAATCGTTATTTACTGTATGTTCTGCATTTATTTTTGTGAAATGAACTAAGCTCTCATAGCAATTTGAAAAAAATAGTAAAGACGTATTTGAAACTGCCAAGTTAATAAAGTTTCGGAGCTTACTTTGTTTTCCTTTATGTTCACTTGTGTATTGGAAAAAAATAATAATATGCTTGTTTTATTCTATCATCATTATGAACATTTAAAGTTTTGAGTTTACTAAATGAGACCCAATTCTCGACGATGCTCTGGGATAACTATGGGTCTTTGTAAGGCCAAACATATCTTAAAACAATCCAATTTTCTTCGCACAATCGCCTCCATGAAAAAATTCGTGATATTTTTCGTGTTGTATGCCTTGTACTTCGATTGCGAAGCCATATTGTGAATAAAATATATCAAGTTCTAGTCCATTTGGATATTCTTGTGTCTTTAAGAAATCGGGTCTGCGGATTGGTGAAGGGG